CAAGTGTCTCCTCCTAAATGATCTTCCTACTTCCAGACTTCCTTCCCACTAATTCATTCTCCACAATCACTTATCTTAAAACATAAATGGAATTACCACACACTTTTATTTAAAAGCACTCGATGGTTTCCAATTGCATTTACAATGAGATCAAATATACTTGTCATGGACTACAAAGCTTACCTCATTCCAAACCCCTCTCCTTTTTTACTTACTGTGCTCCAGCTACACTAACATTAACTTATTTTCTTGAACATTCCAAGCTTCTCTTCAATTCAGAGCCAAGAAATCCCATTATAGCCCCTTTCTTTCTCCAATTCTTCATGTCTTGAACTCATCTTTCATTTAAAATTATTAGCTTAAATACCAATGCCTGTCCTCATTATTCTATATTTGAGAGTATTTTTCTTCAGGACATTTATCAAAGTTGAGATTTATTTTTCATGTTTAATTCTTTTTTTCCCCATTCAACTAGGTAATCAATAAGATAAAAACTTTGTCAACTCTGCCATTGTGACATGAGTTAGCCATTTTCCTAGCACATAGTAAGTTCTTCATAAGTTAATGGAAAGAAAGAGAGAGAAAAAAGAGGGAGGAGGAAGGAAGAAAGAGAGAAGAATGGTTGGAAAAGGAATATGTGGAGAAACAAATGTTTGATTTAGTAAAAACAAAACAAAACAAAAATAAAAACAACCCACTAATCTGTTTAGCTCATACACAATTGGTTTTTCTATATAGCAAAAATTTAGAAAAGTCTGCTACTGCAAGATACTCCCAGGAACTAGAAAATACTTATATTTTTCAGGGGGGACCCTAGTATTACTTTAACAGTTAAACAAAATGTATCATTTAATAGGTCAACAAAAAAGAAAAAATAGAGTATTTTGTGCACCTAATCACGTTATTCTCAAGTTCAATCTTCATTTATGTTACCAAAACTTAGCTATATAATTTTTTCTGATTCTCTCTCTTTTTTTGGCCTTTTTAATAAGTGTTCCTGCTCTCAGATTATAATTTTATTGCATTATTCAATCTTTTAATTTTGGGTTCAAACTGTGCATAATAAAGCAGTCTACATTTTTATAACTCTTCAATTTGTACATTTTCCTTCATGTAGCACATTAATTACATGTCTTTGAACTTTATTTGTCCCCAAACTCTGTCATCTCTGTGAAAATGAAGTCAAGTATATTTAATTAGCATCAATTACTTTTATCTGTGATATGTCTCAAGTGCATTTTTTTCCCTTTACCTATCACTTACCACCAGGGACGCCTTCAAATATTAAATCCTGAAGTGTTTGTGTAAACTTTGTGTATTTTCACCGATAAACTCATTAATAAACTTGTTATTTAGCTATTTGAAATGTTTCGTGAAGGATCAGGCATATTAATGCTACATAAAGTCTTTGTACCAATCTTCAAGATACCTTTCTGTGTTTCACCGCTGTTCTTCCTGCTCTAATTGCCCCAAGGAGATCAGTAATTTAGTAAAAGTGAAAATCACCTAATTAGCTTTTAATTAGTACATGCTTCATATTTCATCATCTTTGGCTACCTAAAACAGACAAGGAAGCCCAAAAGAAAAATGATCTTTTTTTTTAAACAGTTCTGATGCAAACTCCACGCCCTCCAAATTTTTGAATATAAATTAAATACTATCTTTAGCTTCAAGGATTTTTAACCCATGAACCCTACATTCGTATCAGATCTTTCACTATTATAAAGATTTAAAAATAATAACTGATTGTTAAAAACAACCTATTATGTGGTTTGCTTTTGTACTTCTGTTGTTTGAGTTAGGAGTTACTCCAAAGTTAATGAAATAGTTTGTATTATGGAGCCAGAGATTTAAAAAGAAATGGTCAAAATTGGATATATGAATTAATATATGAATTAATGAAATTATTGAACTTTCTGTTTTAAGTAATTATTTAATTCCATTATGTTTCATTACATCCCTTGAGTATTTCAACTGTTCTGGAGACAATTGAAAATATTTAAATAAAGATGAATACTTCAAGAGAAAAACACATCCAATTCAAAATCATGCATAATAGGACAATACAATCTGTGGCAAGCATATACACATTTGCATAATTGACTCAGAATTTTAAGGAAGACATAATACTGATTTTTATCAAACACAAAATGGGTATGTGATGCACTTCTGTGTTTGTCATGGAAAATGTTATACATATATACATTTTATTAAACCTCAAAACAAATAATATTTCAATGTAGTACATACAATAGTATTCTGTAGCTAATCCTTCTGGCAGTATTTACCATGGTTGTTATGTGTTTATGCAATTTATTAAATATAATATTTTGGAGACAACTAAATACATTTTAATAATTTTATTTGAATACTGAACAGACTAATTTCTAAGTTTTTTTAATGATTCTGTAGATTATTTTGTAGACTGCTTCACTTAATATATGCTGGAAATAAATTATCATAATACACTGAGGGTTAAAGTCAAATATTAATTTTGGTATGCCGCTGAATATTTATTTCAAAATTGTAACTGTGTGTCACACAGAGCAGACAATATGTAAATACATATCTAAATATTATAAAAACCTACAAATTGCTTATAAATAGCAACATTAAATTATTAAACAAATACCAACACCTTTATATTTATTTAAGCATATTACAGTAAGAGTTAAAATACACAGAGCAATTACTATTCTATGAGAAGCTATCCAGAAAACTATTTTAGTTTTATATGTGCTGCTGAAGCGAGCACCAGAAAACTATTTTAAATATACAAGACAGTAGCACTATCCTTACAATTTAACAGTAGAATAATATCCTTAAAACCTGGAAATTATTAGGTATAAAAGTTTAAATAATAAAGCTTTTAGAGAAACTGTAGGAAAATATCTTAGCAACCATGGCAAAGGCAGATATTTCTCTTTTTTTTTTTTTAACATTTCTTAACTAGGTCACAAAAAGCCCTAATCACATAAGAAATAAACCTAATTGAGAATTTCTATTCACCAAAAGACACCACTAGGAGAGTACTAAGATAATCCTCCAAGTGCTTTAATATAAAATATAAATATCCAGTCGTATGCCAGAAAATGTTTAACAACTAACTTTCCTGTTTTTTAGTGTTTGCCAATATGTGTAGTATAAAAATTTCTACCATGGCAGATTTTCAAACTACCAAGCAGCTCTCTAAATTCCTGACACTTTAATGGTTCGCTCTTGTGCATCAGTTTGAGCTAGCTCCATCACAGAGGGTTCAATACCCACTACACACAAAATGAAAAAGGATTCACAGTATAGTAGAAAAGGGGCAAGTCTTAACACTTCAAAAAGGAGAATATTCATATGACAAATAATCATCACAAATACGATAATCATAAAAGTGCCATCAATCTTCCAGGTATTCAAATTGAAATATTTCTATTTTACATTTCTATAAACACGCCGATTTGGCTAAAATAGAAGGATAAAAAATTCTACAATGTTAGTTAATATTTGGAGCAACAGAAATCTCACATCCTGCTCCCAAAAATCAATACAATCACTTTGGCAAACTTTCAGTCTCTACTAAAGTAGAACATATGCATATCCTGTATATCCAACAAAATACATGCATGCATTTCCTAAAAGACATGTTCCAGATGTCCACATAACCACTATTCATAAGAACCAAAGAATGGAAGCTACCTGAATGCTTATAAATGGGAGAGAGGATCATAATTTGGTACATCCACACAGCTGAATACTAAGCAGCAATAAAAATGAGTGATTAATCACTGCATAAAATCTTACAAATGTAATGCTAAGCAAAAGAGGCAAAGTAGTAACTACTGTATGACTTCATTTGTAGGATGTAAAACGGAATAATCTATCCTTCTAGAAGTCAATATAGTGATTATTTTCCATGGATAATTACCAAGAGAGTACTATGCAATGGGTTTCAAAGTATACTAATGTTCTTTTTTTTTTTAATGTGAGAGCTGGTTATATGGATGGGTGTGTTTATTTCGTTAAAATTTACTGAAACTGTATACTTAAGATATGAGCAAGATTAGAGATGATAAATAATGATAAGTGTAATTTTTAAAAATATTTTGACATATTTTATAAGTTGAATTAACTTGTGAGGAAAGTTCATTTAGGTATATTTGTAAAATATAAATACAATTTAACAATACCTATTTGGATTAAAATTATTGCTCTTTACACATCCAAATAATGTATTTCATAAAAAAATTATTTCATTATTAACAGAGTCCACTTGGTAGAGCAGTGGAATTTTCCCTTGCTTCTATTTGACACTTGTCTTCAATAATCATATGTTGAGTGTCTCAAAAAAATGTAACCAAAGCATATACCTTAGAATGCCCCAAGGTGGTTATTCCCTACAGACTCTTAAAAAAACTTCTTCAAGATACATTTTGATAAGGTTGTATGTCAAATTAACAAGTTTATTCAATCACCTTTGTGTTTCTGAAGATATCATTTACCCAGAAATATAAAATGTATGACACAATTGCCCGTATTATCTGCATTTTATTTTTATCAGTTGAAAGCTAAATCTTTATTATGTTTACTATTAAAGAAGACATAAACTGAAAATTATCTTACTAAAACAACAAAAGTGAAATTGTTTACTTAACATTCTGTAGTAATTAATTATAAGTGGAATCCAGATTCACATGTGTAATTGAATACATTAACCAAAGAAACTGACAAATTAATAAGGCCCATAATATCACCTTAGAAGTCACTGATTACTTCTTATCATTTCTTTTTCCATCATTACATATTTTACTTTCAACTTCCTAAAGCTCCAATATTAAGCTTTCATAGAGGAATCCAATTTTGATAAGTCTTGACAGGTGATGAAATAAGTTTTCCTTTCAATAACTCATTGCCTCTATTCATTGCCATCAAATGGACCTCATTATAAAAAATTTTAATATATAAAATTGTCATTCATGTCCAAAGAACTTTTTCAGTAGTATAAATCTTACCTTTCTGAACAATGCCTTCAAATTCACTTAGAGCCTATCAAAGACTATTTCAAATGATCGTTATTATAATCTACCCAAGAACATAAACATTTAATAGAAAATATCACACATTTTCTTCAACATTTATGTAAAAGTATGATAAAGTGTCAAGAAAACTATGCAAATTACCTTTATATTTACAGGTATATTTACTGATATATTATCAAGCAGGGATAATAAAGAGGATAAAGAACTTTTATTAATTATACTCTTACCATAAGCTCACCGGTTAGGAATTCAGACAAAAGTTCACCACCCCGAGACCTAGAAAAGTATAAGCAAAAATATTTTCTATCAGTACTGGCATCATATTCTAATTTAAGCATTACAAAATGTTAAATAGTGATTCAATATTATGAAAATTTTTCATTGTATGAGTAATTAGTATACACATAATTTGACAAGCAATTTTGACTACAATATTCTTCTAAAATAGCATTATCATTACTCAGCTTACATCAAACTATTGTGATTTAAGATTAATTACTCTAAGTTGAGCTCTTTAATGCAGGGATGACAAACAAGTAGAGAAATTTTACTGTCTCCTTTGTTTCCTCTAGACCTCTGGGTGTCGGGCATATTTGCGAGCAAAATTTATTTTGCATATATTACAGAACCTGATTCTCAGTTACCTTCATTTAACAGTTTCAAATGTATGCACACTCATACACATACACAGTTGCTATGCACGTGGGTGTACACATATGCATATGCAAATGCAAATGTTATCATACTGCAATCCTATATTTATCTTTGCTTTATCTGTTTAAATCAGTGGAGAATATATAACTTTGCATGAATATAAATATTGTCTATCATAATACAAAGGCTGCATAGTACTCCATAGTTTGTTGCACACCTTAAATTGTTTAAGATATTTGATTAAGCAGTGACACTATATCATATTGGTTATTAGTATCATCTTTGAATTGAGCCATTTAGTTACCATTATATGTGATCATTATTTAATAGTTAATGTGCTTTGCAATAGTTTTAATATTTTGATGCAGTGGTAACCTACCAATTACACATATATATTAAATCCTTGAATTTGTTTCCTTCTAGGTAGATTCTGTTCTATATGAACAAAAGAATAGATTGAAGATTTAATCTTTTCCATCAGTGAAGAAATTAGTAACCTTTATAAACCCTTTAGAAAACTATGAATGACTGGTATATAAGCAGGTGTCCACTGTATGACAATCTTACAATTTAAGATAATAGAAGAGAGAAACCACAATAGATTGGATCTATTATGTAATGCCTTAATGAGTAGTGTTGTTGTTAAGGATATGTTTTTCTCAAAGGACTGTGAATTAAATTATTCCAACTAGTTTCTACTGTAATTGAAGGAAACATATGACATAGTTTGTCTGCCAAAGAAATGATATTTAACTCTTAGAAGGAATTATCATATGTGAAAATGACTCTGACACTAAAGGAACTACTTGAGTAGTGAAATAAAATGTTTCTAATACCCTTCTGATGATATGTTAGCAGAAATCAAAACATCACTATCTCTGAGTTGTGAACGTTCACATTAAAATTTATTTTTCTGCCAATTGAAATGCATGTGTGGAGTAAAATTTTCAATAATGAATGCTCAGACCTCTTGGTCAAAGTCATTGGCTAACTGGTGGCAAGGACTTGACTGCTTTCTGAGTCTTTGATTCTCATCCTGTTGTATTTCCCTGCAGTTATTGACCGTTACTTCAGGTCTCCTTGTTTCTGAGTTGGAGATGCTATTTCTTAGTCTTCCACAGATGTGTCTCCTGTGCGTTCCTTTTACAAATTCCAGTGCACAGGGATTAACCTTGTGAACCTGCTATTCATTCTCTACTGTGTTCTGCTTTTATTTCCCCTGCAGGAACAAGGAGTGAGAAGATGACTTCAAAAGATCCATTTCCTACTGACACTCAATAAAAAGGAAGCCATTCCCAAGAATCTAGTGTAATCTGATTACTTATACTTCAACAAGTCAATCAGGAAATTACATAATGTCCTGCCCCCTCTTCCTTTTTTACCAAGAGATGCATCAAGTTAAATATGAAGTAAATGTTAAAGGGTTAAGTGTTAAAATTTACATTTGGCTGAAGCAAAGTATCACCATTGTAAAATGAACTCCTTGGAGATATATATATATATATATATATATATATATATATATATAAAAGTTTGTAGTTATTATTATTATTTTTTAATTAAAGATTTAAAGTCAAACAAAATCTAAGGTTTGACATTATAAAACAGGAATAATAATTTTTTGTAGCACTATCAGATGCTAGACCACTCCTACAAGTACTACGTTGCATATTTGTGATATTAAATGGACAGTTTTAACTGAATAATAGAATTTCAACATAACAAACACATAAGAGAATTTATGTCCTCCACTTATATCTAGAATGCTTATCTATATCTGAAAGTGAATATTCAGGTAATAACAGTAAATCCAGTAGACATCCTTGTTTGTATTATGGGCATTGTTATACTGAGTAGATACATTATACACTCAAGACTGTACGTCATGACCCATGAGTAAATTCAGGGATTCCAAATCATATTCAACACATTTGGCTAGTTGGTCTTCAAAGCAAAAGCCAAACCAGAGAGGTGATTTTAGGCATATAAGAAAGCCAAAGCAGAAGTGTGGCTCACCCCAATTTTAATCTACTTTCTTAAAATGATTTGCATGGCCTGACTCAGGCAAGTATACTGACTATTGGGACACAATTAAAGGAGATAAAATAATCTTAACATGATGTAGATAAGAAAACTATTTTAGGGGAAAGACTTGTAGTGAAGGATCAGTAATTAAACTGTCAGTGACACTGGTACTATGTTAGAGTTTTATCATTGATGCATTTGAGGAAGTTTTACTTCATAGATAAGAATCTAGTAAATAGATTTGATCAGATACTCTCCTTTCACTTGTACTTCTTGTCCATGTGGGGGTAGCCATTCAGAAAGAATTTATGCTGAGCAAAGTAAGCAGACTTCAGCAAAATTGCAATTTGGGTAATTCTGAAATTCTAATATCCTAAACCTATCAGAAATCTCCATAGCTGTCAAAGTATTGCAAAAATCTTGAGCAGTTGTACTTGAATTAGTATTTCTATAAATTAATTAATGCTATTAATGAATGTGCCTATCAGATATGTGACTCAGCTTTTGAAGAAATTCATGGAATCAGTATTTCAGATGGTGATTTTCTCTGATGCTAAAAAGAATTAGACTGTTTTATCTCTTCTTGGCTCACTTTTACAGGGGAGTTCAATATTTTGGAGGAGGAGAAGGAAGCAGAATTTTTATTTTTTTTATTTTTTTTAAGATTTTAAAAAAATTTTTTAAATTTATTTTCAGCGTAGCAGTATTCATTGTTTTTGCACCACACTCAGTGCTGCATGCAATCTGTGCCCTCTCCAATACCCACCATCTGGTTCCCCCAACCTCCCCACCCCCTGCCCCTTCAAAACCCTCAGATTGTTTTTCAGAGTCCATAGTCTCTCATGGTTCACCTCCCCTTCCAATTTCCCTCAACTCCCTTCTCCTCTCTAACTCCCCTTGTCCTCCATGCTATTTGTTAGGAAGCAGAATTTTAAAATGATTTGGAAACCTAAAGGTTGTGAAGTCATTTTAAGTAATTATAAAAAATAGTATATGATAGTGAATAAATTTAAAGATAGTTTGATGGGCTTAGGAAAATCATAGTTAATCAGCAATGGATAAGTAGAACAACGCTAATATTTCCACACTCTATGTCATGTATCCTACATTGATATCACTAAATTCTCTTTTAATACTATTATTTAAAAAACAATTATTTTCCACATTCTCAGAAAAGACGTTGGAAGCTAACAGTTGCATGAGTAAACGGCAAAATGTCTTATTGCTAGTACATTATGGAGTAAAAACTCAACCCAAGCATAATCACATTCAAAATCCCGATTAATTCATATACCAGGGTAGAATCATATTAATGAATAGCATTTACTGAATACATACCATATGTCAGGTATTTTGTGGGTATTAACTCATTTAATTCTTACAACTGTATCTCTAGAGATGAAGTGAGCTGCCCTTTTTTATACTTTCTTTTATTTATTTTTTAAACACAGAGATTCTGGCTTCAGAGACTGTGCTGTGAAGTATTACATCATAGTCTACCTGATACTTAATCGTCATGAGTGTTCTCAGAAGAGGTATTTCAGTGTGCATGTTTACATTTTTTTTTCAAGTTGGGGCATCATGTACATATAATTGCACATTCATTATGTGATGATCATTTTGGTTGGTTGATCCTAAGTAATAACAATGATAGTATTTAGTGAATATATTCATGTCAGGAAGTATGTTAGGTGCTGTAAATTCATCTCATTTAATTCCTATAGTAGTCCTAACAGGTATTATGGTCACCCTCATCACATAGATAGGAAAATTGACTAAAAAGATAAATATCCCCAAGAGCACAGAGTAAGTAAAAGGCACAGCTAAGTTTCAAACACAAACTCTCTCAACTTTATTAGTGTGATGCAGCATAAAGATTCTGTCTTCCAATAGGGAGGAAGTTTGAAAGAGGTTAGAGGCTCCCATTTTAGATCACTTAGAAAAAAAATTAAAACTTCAACTTCTTAAATCAGAGCTCTGACTACACCCTAATTAAAAAAAAAAAACAAATCTATAATAATAGCAAATAAATTAAAATCTTTCCAGTCTTATAATGCCAATATATTATAATTAATTATAGATAGTGACAGCCTCTCAGTGTCTAATTCATTAAATGTTAAACTGAAACTATGCATTATTTATTAGACATGCCAATTTCTAAAATTTTCTGCCAATAAATTAGAGAGAATACATAAGATTTTACAAAATATGTAAATTTCATGTAATAAATGCATAATTTGGTATAGGTTATCAGAAACAGTTACTTGGAGAACCAGATAGTTTTCTATTCATTTATGAAAATGCAAATAATGTATAAAAAAAACACTTTGAACTCTCATTTCTTTCAAGACTGCCAAGCTTATCATCTCAGAAACATACTCCTGTTATAATTATAGGGGAAATGTTTGAGGAAAAAATAGGTTGTTTCAGTGAAAACTGGCATATTTTAAACTCTCAATAAATAACTAATGAAAACCTAAATGCTCCAATAAACAAATGTTCCCCAGATAGGCCCTTAGGAAGAAAGCTATCCTGTATTTAGGTGCTAGATTTTACCTTAGCTCAGTATCCATACTTT